ACGTTTAGTTTGGGACAGTGCTGGCAAATTTCTTAATTTCCAGCTAGTGTTATATATAGTAATGGAAGTAGAAATAGTAGGTATCTTAACAACAGTTATAAAATATTTAGAAGTCAGCTCTCAATAGCTTATTTGCATAAGTCATTGAATAAAAAATCAATTACAATTAATTTTTATTAAATATATAAGAGGCAACATAAACATAAAAAAGACTCTTCTGAAAAAAATGTTGGGCTTTCTTACTATCTTAACATATTTGTTTGAATTTTGTTATTTTCTATAGCTATAAATACACTCACAAATTTAAAAAAATTTATGGCTTGTAATTTTAATTAACACAAATTAATGCCTTATCTTTTGTTAAATTTTGAAAAAATATAAATGATTTTATTGACAAATTTATGTTTTTCAAATTTTTATTTGGCACCACTGTTTCTGGCCGTTGTTGTTTCTGAAACGCTCCTCTTCGGTTCGGTTTGCCTGTTTGGACAGCGTATCCGCTTGCTGGTTTCTCTCCGGCTTTCGCCCATATTTCTGCACTCAATTGTCCTTCAGTGCATTTTGTGGTCGTCGCTATTCTCCTTTCTGCATTGTGTTTGTCATCTCTCCCTCTTAGCCCGAGCTGTAAAGTATAATGCCTTTGTTTGTTCGCGCAATAAAAAATGATTACTTTAATTTCCGAGCCACATAAAAAGGCACGTCTAACATGAGAAATCGCTGTCATTGCCGGTTTGCCATCTAAACTGGCTGCATTGACCATAGACCTTCAAGGGGAAATGCATTAGGGTTTTTGTCAGGCAGGCTAGATTCTGGTTATGGAGGTGTAATCGCAACGATTATTCTTTTATATTTCCTTTGATTAGTGTGCTTAAGTTTTCCTTTCTTGCTTTTAATGCATTTATATTATAAAAGGAAGTCCCTTCCCTTCTTTTTCCAGTTAAAAGTCACTTTTTCTTACTTCTTTGAAGATAGTAATGTGATCATCTTAAATCAACCTCAGCTGTGTGAGTAAGCAGTCGTATCTTTTTTGTGCCATTTATTTCCCTTTTAACAATCGTAGCTCACCAAATGCAAAAATATGCCTGCCAAGACAGTAATTTTTTTGTGAATTTCTTCCCTCTCGGTTTTTTTCGATTTAGGTGTTTTTCTCCTTCGGACTTTTTTTTTGTTATCTTGGCCCCTTTTTGTCCTCTCTGTTTTGTGTCAAACCGCATTGGGCCACAAAACAGAAGTCAGAGCCATATCCTGGCACGAGGTCCTTGGGTCGCCAACGCGCTGAGCTGCTAAGCGAAAACTTTATGCACCAAATTGTTTTCACCTGCTGTCCCAAATTTATAACACCTCGCCCACCCAAAGCAGGCCCCCTTCTTCTCCTATATATATATTTTTTTTATTTTTATTTGTATAATCCTTTCGGTTATGGGGCCACGACACCCGCACCCTTTTTTGTGCGGCCGGGCAACTTTTGGGGATGACAGAAAGCAGCATTGGAATTTGCGAGCCGGCGCAGGGATTAAGCGAAAGACAAAAACCGGAGGCGACTCCGAAATGCGGATTCCACTGTTCACCGTTCACTGCTCACAATGCCGTTTCCAAAATCGCCACGCACAGTGGTCCTGATTTCGTTTTCGTTTCTCAAGTACTGCGGAATCTTGGCCTCTCCATTTTATGGCCGAATCTCTTACTTTGCATAATGTTGTTAAGCAATTTTTACGACACCGTACTGAGGGGTCACTCATAATGGCCGGCACACTTGTTGTGCCCGTCGGCTACTCGCGCGAAAATGGGATATTTCTCGCTTCTCTGGTGAGTCGGCGAACACTTTTGAATGACCCTCATTAAACGACCAGAAATTATATTAAATTTGCCAAGAACAATGCGCCCGCCAGCACTGGCGCAAAAATGTTTGCCGCGTAAAAAAGTTGTAAATATTTTTATGCCTGCATTAATATGCAACGCCAACCACTGTAGGGTCTGTCATGGGGGAAAGTGGGTGGGTGGCAGGATGCTTGGGAATGGTTGGGGGAGGGCTCCTTCCTGGCTTGCTGTCGCTGCTAATACCACCGCTAATAAAATCTTACTGCCGCAGTAGCGTCAGCCTCCTCCAGATTCGGCTTCGGCTTCGCCAGCCATGAAGCACAGCTGTGTGCAGTCATTTTTACTGCTGCACTGCAAAGGCATAGAAGTCGGCGGTATAATAGGGTTCCCCCCTCCTCCTTTTTTCCGGTGGAAGGGGGGATGAGTATCCCTAACAGGGCGTGGCCAGAGATCCAGTTGAAGCCAAAAGGCCAAAGTGTTTAAGTGCCCAAACTTTGTTATTAGATTACCGGCTTCCAGTAGTTCACCGCAATGATCTTTGGCCGGAAATGAAGTGAGACGTTATTCATGCTGCGAACTTAACTTATTAAAAATCAGTTTTGAATGTCAGTAGTTTGTTTAAAATTAACATAATTTATATTGGGATTTGCCATGCTTATATTGATTAATTAGCTTAAGAAGCAGTATTTATTTATTGCATTCCTTTGTATTATTTTTATTTTGCTTAGTCTTGAGTTATTTTTCCTTTTTCCCTATTCTTCAAATTATTTCCTATTTGACTATCAGTTACAAATAACCCAAACAGTGTGTGCTCGTTATCACGGCTCATGTTGATGACCAGAACAAATACCTGCAGCTTCCGTCACTTTTGAGCATGTCATGTGCTGTCTTAGCCGCTTACTTCTCATCTCAACATGTGAATACGGAAAGGCAGCATTTTACAGCGTGCAAATATTATAATATTCCCACACAGATGCCCTCTGACAGCTCGAAAGTCGCTGCCCGAATTCTAGACAGGAATCCTCACTGACTCTCTGCAAGCAATATTGTCCGTAACCTGCCTCTTTGGCTCGCATCGTATACTTCTTGCTTTGTTTGGCCTGTCTGTCCAGCTGTCAGTTCAGTTAGCTTTCGTTGGTAATTATTCAGATTTTGTTTACATTTCATGCATAAATAAATCAACGAAAATTGCGACTGAAAACTATAAATGCCAAGTCATACATCTGTCACTATTGGGAGAGTTGCTTTTGAATGGGTAGTTGTATAATATTCCCAAACTGGCACTAAAATGCAGCTGCCTCTCATTAGTGCTCCTCAGACCTTCCTTACTCTAATTTAATCAAGTTGAATGGTAAAAGAAATTACGCTTTTTTTCGGTGGGTGCTTCAAAATGTACAGCAAGAAATCCGGAGGGAACGGAAAATTACCATGGCTAACAACATTTGGGGCCGCGTCCTTTATGTAAATTGCGGCCAAATTAGTGAGAGTCAAGGAAAAAAGGAATCCCAGTTCAGGTAAGGAAAAACAGACACTTAGAGGTTACCAAGACGGCTTTGGCTCGGTGAGATGCCTTCGGGTATATTGCCCAACCGCCGGGCAAGTCGGTGTACATAAAGATCCATTAGCTGCCCAGGGCAAGTGGTTAAGTGACAGCATCAGTGGCCCCATCATATTTTAATTTGCATTCAAATTAAACGGCATATCAACGGAATCAAAGCATTGACATTCTCTTGCAAAATGCTAATTATACGATTAGGAAAAAGCATTTTGCTATAAACGATGCATTTCAAACAATATCTGTTAAATCTAAAAAACAGTTTAAGATAAGTTAACTGTTTACTCATTTATAAAAATTCTAAAATTCAGTTGCAGTCATCAAAACATTTCACTGAAACCTAGCAAATAGGGAAACCATTTATGAAACGAACTTGCAAATAATTTTTCTCTCCTCAATTTATTTAAAATAAAATCGTTTGGGTAATGATGGTATGCGTATGCCTCGATGAACTTGATGATTTGATTAAAAGTTGCCGCAAATGTGCTTTCCCCACTTAAGCCGAAAGTCATTAGGGGTTTCCATTTAATTCCCTAATCCACAACATCCTTTTCTTCCGGAAGCCTCTCACTCTGTGTGTGTGTGCGAATTTGAGACCGAATCTCTCTCCACTTTCCATCGACTCCGATTTAATCCCCCAAGCGCGCTTTTCTTACGACCCAATCCACAGAGTTTTTGGCCCCAAACAGTCGACTGTCATCAACGACGTCAAAAGCGCTGCCCGCTGAGCCAACAATTAACAATTAAAACCCCAAAGCGCACAACTCAATTTTGCAATACACACAGAGAGCGAAGAGCGGAGTGACTGGGAGGTCGACTGCGGCAAACATTGCAATGGCAATTTCATCTATATGTATGTATATATACATATATATTCCATAGATAGCTGGGGAAAGATAAGGGTAACCCGCAACAACAATAACCTAGCACCAATGGGCACTTCTGCCTCGGCTAAGTTCTCTGTGTGCTCGTCGCACTTACAACTAAAAACTTGTTACGTATTTAATTGCAATTAAAAAGTTGTTTTGTAGTTACGAGTGTTGGTGCTCTTGGCTTTCTTCGTGGGTGGCTTCCTTGCTCCCTGTCTGCCTGGCTGCCTGGTTGCCGTTGTTTTGTCAGACAGCCAACAACAGGATGGCTTCGGAATTGTCTCCAATAACAAAACCAGAACCGAAACCCCAAAGACTCTCGGTTCTGGGATGAAGTCATTACAAGGCGAAATGAAAATGTGTGGAAAAGAAGCCAAAAGGGTTTTCCGCTTAATGACTTTGGTGGTGTTTCGGTTCTTTTGGATAAAGCAACCAAAAATCCCAACGCCCACACCCCCACGGATTCATTCTCCTCTGATTTCAACGATAGCACTCATTAGAGTTTTGCGATTTTTGGCTTAAAACTTTGGCCATAACAATTGGCCATGGCCATCATCGCGATTTTGACACGAAACACGGCACCAATGGGAAATTCTCAGTTAAAATGTTCGCTCTTTGGCCCCGTAAATAATTTGATTTTATTTGAATTCCTAATGTTTAGGAAACGTAATTTAAGAGCTTCCTTTTTTAATTTTAATAAAATTACTATAAAATGTATATCATATTTTATTTATTTATTTGAAAACAAACAATATCAATATCAATATTTTATCAATGGGTATCTACATTTATTTGGTGGTTTTTTCTTATATAATATTATTGTTGACTCTTGTTTATATTATGTACATGGATTTTTTGACATCTAGCGGTGGCGTTCAGACTTTTTTAGTTGTCCCTTTGAAAAAGGCTTATCCAAAGAAATTAAACAGATTTTCCTGCTGCTGTTGTTGTTGCTGACCGCCGCCTCCTTGTTGTTGTTGTTGTTGTTCCTGGAAGAACTCAACGCCACCGCCGAAAGGACCTCTAAAGATGACTCCTTCTTCCTGCTGCTGCTGCTGCTGACCACCAAAGCCGCTCTGTTGCTGCTGCTGTTGTTGTTGGCCCTGTTCAAAGCGTTCAAAGTCCCGAATTAGACCACCAATTGGACCGAATTGAGCAGATACCAGGGCAAAAAGCGCCACAAAAACAACTATCTAGAGACCAAAAAAGGTAGCAAATAAAACTATTGTGATTAAATATGCAGCAAAAATGTAAACAATTGTTTTGATTTACTTTGTCGTCTTCAATGCCGAAAAAGTCATAGATTATATGACACGTTTTCGTTTAAGAAACGTGTGATGCGGTCAAAAATGTTCTTCAGTTTTATTGCTTTGCTTAAAGCTTTGAAGGTTGAGTACTTATATTTTGCTTACCAGAAATTTCATTATAAGTTTTCGTTATTTAATTCTCCGGCAGACAGTCTTATTTGGTTGAAACGCAAAAATGAACTGTATGACTTTCGGCTACCGCCTGTGGGTATTTATCCGATTTTTGTTTGAGTTATAGCCCCTCAAAAACTGGTTGGACACGGGCCGTTGGCAGTTCGGACTTCCCTTTAGCGCTGATCATAGATTTTTGTTTTTAAGGGGATTTTTCTCTGTTGATCGAAAATTTCAAGTATGGTTGTCAACCTTTCTGGAGCTGACGGGCCCACTAAAAATACAGGTTTTTAATCTAGCTTTTTCTGGCTTATGCTTCTCTTAGCTAATCAAATTAGTTAAATTATTATTGTCTGATTTCTTTTTTGTTATTTCACAACTTTTAGTGAGTCATTGTATTCCTCAATTGTTTGCTCAATTCTGCAATTGTTTGGAATTTACAATTATTGCAAATTTTGTTATTGCCGCTAAACACTTCCGCAAAGTGACGCAAAAATTATTCCATTAATTTCCAAAGTGGCTTTTAAATAAGCACTTCATTCTGAGGAATATTTTACAAGATTTCAAACTGGTTTGAGGCACTAGACGATTTAACCGTTTTGTTTGCTGAAAAAATAAGTCGTTTCATTAAAATGTGATAACTTGTGGTTGCCCTGTTAGAAAGCTTAATATTCATTCTATCAGCTTAATATAGATACCCTCGAATGCAAAAGTAAGCAAAGCTAACACATTTAAAGTACATCGACGCATCATAATAGTATCTTAATAGGTTTTACTATTTCATGTGTTTTCATGAGTATTATCCAAGGATGTATTAAGGCACCAAAAATACAAAACAAATTTTAGTGTAGTTTTTTGTACTATTATTTAATTAACTATATTTTTATATATTTAACACAACGATTCCAGCATGGAATAGTTTTAGAAGAAGCCTCCCTGCTGCTGCTGCTGTTGCTGCTCAAAGCCACCGCCGAAACCACCGAATCCACCTCCAAAGCTCTCCTGCTGCTGCTGCTGCTGGCCGAAACCACCTCCGAATCCTCCGAATCCTTCCTGCTGTTGCTGTTGTTGGCCACCAAAGCCACCTCCAAATCCACCGAATCCAAACTGTGGCAGAGCGGAGGCAAAGGCAATGAGTGCCACAAAGACGATCACCTAAAGTGATATTAATAATAAAATAGTCCTTAGTTTTCGCCAGGTTTTGCACAGCAAGCGTAACTCACCAGGAATTTCATTTTGTGTTAAGTGTTAAATTCGATTTTTAAATATATCCCAATAGATGAGGATGCGGCGACGGTGCACTTGATACTGTGCCCACTCTGGCACATCTTTCTCTATTTATACGGTTTTATCGTGTTCATCTTATCTTTGAGTTTCGGAGGTTCTTTACCCGAATATGAAATAACTTGTCGCCAGACACTGGAGCAGACTTGGGGGCTTTCCTCACAGCTGACGAGCGTTTCTCTTTCAATCCGGTTTTGAATTAGTTTTGTTTATTTTTTTAATGTTGAACAGGCGCCAGGTGCGTGGTTTTTGGTTTGAATTTTAATAGTTTGCTAATTTGTATTTAAATAGGATTTTTTGAATTTATGACTAAGCTGATTTTCGAGACACGTTTCCAAGAACCAATATATTGATCTCAATTTGGAACAACTTGAGCATAATGAGAATGCTTCCTCAATTTTGACCCGTGAATAATAGTTTGTTTACATGTTACCTATGAATGTGGCCATAGCTTATTGTTTTATAATTATTAAAAACCCAAATTATCTTTCTATTAAAAAAAAAAGTGCACTTCATTCGCAATGTTTATTTTATATTAAAAATTCAAGCAAGAAAGAAAAGATTTATTTGGTAACTTTTAATTTTTAAATACTGTATATACGTTTTCACGAATTAATTCATTGATCTTAGCTTAACTTAACTTAAACAAAATAGTGATTCTTTATCTTGATCCACAAGTAAGACTTTTTTATTGTGTTATAATTATTACAAACCTCTAATAAACTAAAACCTAAAAAATCAGCACTTGATTTGACTTACTGATTTTACATTCGAGCACAAGCAAATGCAAATGAATTCAGGCGAAAAAAAATGTTTCAATTCGGTTACATTTTGTAACGATAAACAAATTCCATTGGCATAATCAAAAGAAACTTTGTCGTTTTGAGATTTTGTTGGCGTTTGCGTTGATTTCAAGAGTTGTCCAAACGGAGAAAAATGGAGCTCGCTCAATAGATAAGTGTTTCGAAGGGGGAATCACCTGCAGCTCGACTGGCGAACGGCGAATGGGGAATACTGGGGACCCTGGAATTTTTTGTTCAGTCGTCGAGGGTGAAGTGAAATTGCATTTTGTGTGCGGCGCCAGCGGCAATCGAGTTTGGCAATACGTGTTGCCTTTAACTTGGCTCTTAACCCTGCCAGCCAAAAAAGAGGGTGAAGTGAAAGACGACAGCGGTGTCTTTTGGCGCACTTCAGTGGAGCGCATAAAGCCCTAAATGAATTTATTTGGCTCATTTAAAGCAGCTAATTTATTTTTATTTTCATCGAATTTGTGTTTAGTCGGGCACGAGTTCCATTCAAGTAAGCTGTTTAGTGCGGATACTTGTGACTTTATCCCTTTGAAGTTGTAGTTTCGTTTGCAACAAAGTAACTAAGCTACTAAGTTACTTAAGTCGGGGGAAGCCCTCTACTTTTAATAATCCACTACTTCAAGCCTAATCACAGGGAAGTCGCCCGGGGAAATGTGCAGTAATTTTGGTAAAATGTCTAATGAACCCTTTTCGGCAGGCCTAGGTCCACAAAATTGCAGAGCTTTGGGTTAAAACCCCTTGGGCCAACGTCTTCGTCGCGTGTCAAAGTTGCAACTTTCCACATTCAACGCTCTTCGACTCCTTTGATGGAAGCCCAACACGACAGCCAGCGCCGTGCACTCAAATTTGTTCAAATTCATTTCAATTACCTTCAATTTTCAATAATTTTGTTCAAATTATATTCAATTAGGTTCAAAGGCCGAAAAACACTTTGCATAAACATAATTAGCCCTTGCTCGAAAGGTAAGGTATTCTTTGCTCTTTTCAACTCTAACGAACTTGAATTTATAATTGAATATTTGCGTCACAGGAGAGGTAAACAAATAACATTTTAGGTATGGATGATCTCACAACTTTGGTGATGGTTGATTTTTTTACCTCTGTTCTGATAGAAATTTTCCAAGTTTCCGCTGGGTTGCGGCAAGATTTCCCAAAACAGTCCGATTTCAAATTGGCATACCTCTAAACATTTGTAATCGCATTCTTGAAGAAACTGCATTTAAAATTTTCCATTTCCCGAGGGTCGAAATTTTGACCTCTTTTCAATTCAGATTTTTCCAGGTTTCCGATGTTTTGCTAATAGGAGACCAAATTCTTGAAGTCCACAGCCCATAGCTTTGCCAATTTTTGTCCGATTTTAAACCTTTGTAATCGCATTGTTCAAGAAACTGCTTTTAACTTTTTTCATGACAAATTTTTCCAAGTTTGCGATACCTTGCACAAAGGAAACTCAAAACTGGACTTCTACAAACCATACCTAGTAATTGAATAAAAATATATAGGTAATAATTGAATAAAAATATATGTATAATAATTTTAATTCAATTAAACTTTTAAAAAGTGTATAGTTTTAACACATTAGGTTTTTTGGGCCAAGATGCCAACTTTTCTTTGGCTATCACCACGTTTAATTTTAAACTTTTGGCGGCAGTAACTTCGTTTGACTTTTTCGGCACCCCCGTCGACGCAATGTCTCTGGTTATTAGGGTGGGTGGCAATGCATTAGCCCAGTCAGTATTTTATGCCCTGGCTGCAGGTGAGTGGAATCCTGGGGCAGGATATGTGGCGTGGTGGGAAGGTGTGGGTGGTAGAGGTGGTAGAGGTGGTGTGCTTCCACCCATATGAATTTCACATGCTTAAGCCGCAAACTTATGTGCGCGCACAGCTTGAAATCCACGCTCACGTAAACTTAACTAGAAACTAAACCCGAAAGAAATGGTATTCCGAAGAGGAAGACGTCGGTTTCTCCATATCTGGCTGGCTTGGGAACTTTCGCCAACATGTTAGCAGGGCTTAGGACTTAGAACTCGACACTCAACAATTTTTGAGCCAAGTCAATGAGCAATTGACTGCCAACGCACCACCGCCACCTGCCTATCTGCACATATATATGTGTATATATATTCGAGGAAACTTCGTTGCACTCTCCAGGCATCTCCATATTTTTGCGCAAATATGTTTTAATATGGGCTAGAAAAGTTTCCCACTGCACTTCTTTTTGGGCGGCGAAGTTTGCTTCTCCCGCCTTTTTGGCCTTCATTTCCCTCCCTCCACTTTTTTTACTAAGTGCACTTCCGGCCAAAACGCGAGGAAAACTGAATTTTACTTTTTGATAGATGTTTGTGCGGGACCGATTTTAAAGCCAAGCTCGGAAGGGCTTTGACTTGGGTTTCATTATCCCAATCTAGGAAATATTATCTTAACTTTTGGTATATTGTGTTCGGGCATTTAGTTGTTTGCATTGCACGTAACTAATTTAAAATGCGAACACAGGGCGAATTAAGTCCAAATGACTTTATTCACCACTAAACATTTGATTGAATAATAAATTAATTTAGCATTTTAGAGAGTGGCTTTAATTGGCTATAATTGTAGTAATGTATAAACAGCATCACTAAGCAAAAAATGTGTTTACTGAAATTGAATTTATTGTTGAATAGATAAAGATAAAATAATATTATCTTATTATAAAATATACAATGGAAATAAGAAAAGTTGTCTTTATAATAATACGATACATTTCCTAAAGTTGGACTTTTTAATCATAAACTTTTTTGAATTATTATTTAGTATTAATTAATTTAATATTTGATTGCTTTGTAGGATGTTTTTAAAATTAAAAAAAAAAATTAAATATCGACATGGGTCATTTTATGATAGGTATTTGTCACTCTGTAACAAAATTATAGCCATGTGCACATACATCCCTGTCGTACTCGCTAATTGTATTTCTTCACTTGAGCAAACTTTGGCCTTTAATTCCATTCGCCCTGCGACCAACAAAAGCGGCCCGCACTTTGGGCCTCACTCGAAGATTATGTCGCCTTGGTTTCGAGCCCGAGTAGTTTGCAGTTGGGTAACCCAGTGAAGATGCATCTGAGGCCGTGGAAGCGAGGAACCTGAGAACCTGAGAGCCTGAAGATGATGCAGAAGAGGGACTCTTAAAAGTTTGGTTTTAATTAAAGGAAATTTGCGTGCGTGGCACTTGATTTGTAGTTTTCCAGTGCTTCCGTGTGTGCGGGCGTTTTCCACCATCACCATCACCACCACCACCACCTCTACTATTACCATTGCCAAGCATCTTCCCTAAAGCGCCATAAAAAATATAAATATAATTGAAAATTCTAAATTGCAATTGCCGCAAGTGCTCCTCCATTTGCAGATGCCGAGTTCCCGAGTTGCCAAGATGCTCGCCGGCTGCAAATGCGGGCCTTCTGCTCAGGTCTGGGCAATTTCTTGTTCCCGCTCGTAATTAGAAGCAAATGCAAATTTACACTTTGAGTGTGTCGGTGATGACGGAAGTCATTGGTAAAACCTGAAGCTGAAGCTGTGGGCGGGCGGAAAGTTCACTGCCGCTGGAATCCCACTGTTTGGCGTTCTGTAAGTGCAGATATAATGAGAAAAGTTTCAGGTAATTCGAGGCAATGAATAGGGTTCCACTGTCGAATATACCTGCTCCAGGAAAACCAATTCCTTTGGGTATTTTTCAAGAACTGATCTTTTTGATTTGAGATTTTATATAAGCTCTAAAAGTTTCATCAATTTATACATACAACTTCTCACATAAAAACTCTTTCTCATTATAATTTTCATAAAAGATTATCTTATTTCCAATCAAAGCTCATTAACACATAGCAAGCCCCATCTTAATAGATAATATCACTCCCAACTCTTTTCCTATAAAATACTCACGATATCATCCCCGCTTCCCCATTGAAGTTCATTTCCATACCGATCCATCTCGTTCTATACAAATGCACCTTATTCAAGCCAAATTAATTACCGCAAAGCTATTAATCAACAAAAGGCGAGATAACCAACAGATAAACGTGTCCTTGCTTTTCGAGTGGAAAAAGGGGGCGTGGATAGGGGAAGCCCCCACGAAAAGTTAATTTGGTGTATTAAAAGTAGCCACAGTAGTAGCAATAAGTTGTAATGGCCACAGGACGATAGACATCAGTGGCGGTGGGAGTGGGTGGGTTGAAATCCTTTCAAGCGTGAAATGTCCGAAATGGAAATGGAAATGGAATTACCATTTGGAGAGCTTCCTCTTTTGACTTTTAACTAATGGGCAACAAGTGGAAATGAATGAACGACTAGGGGAGAGTAATTAAAATTGCTGCCTATCTGGCGAGTTGGTAAGACAAAACTTTTCCATATTTCGAATCGAGATTTTGAAACATTCGTTGGCTGCGTTGTCAACGATGGCTTATACGCGGCATTCCGCTTGAACGCACTTCCCTCAATTGGCCTTAGAATGTCGCACTCACCCACCGAACCCCCGGATTTGGCCTCCATGGCCTCGTTTGATCTACTTCTTAGTTGGTTTTTGCCTCACAAGCTTTTTGATGAGAGACTGAGAGGCAACCGCAGGTAAATGAGTTTTGATATTGACATGAATTATTCGCCTCACTTAGCCCAGCAAATGGGGGCGTGTTTGATAAGTATCTATGTACTCGCAAACATTTTATGGCATTTGTACTTGTTTTGCCGGGACTTCATGGATACAGTTTAACATTTAAGAATTTTTTTTTGCGCGAGTGTCAATTGCCCAGGAAGTAAATATATATTTAACAAGAAGAAAAATAAATATTCAAAAATATTATACAATAACATGTACAACTTCTTCCTAAAATCAGAAAGTTGTTTATTATACACAAATTATTATTATTATTTACAAATTTTAGTATCTGTTTTCAGATGATTTTCTGCGTATCATCATAAAACGAGCTATAATTTCAGTATCTTCCAGCAAGCTTGTGAAACTGTAAAAAAAAAGTAATCAATGAAAAATGTAGAGAAGTTTTTATTTTAATAATACCTTCCGTCACTATACTTTGAGTACCACCAACCGCCTTCATTTTGAATTGCAAAATTAGTTTCTGTTCCGCCGTTGTTACGATCATACGTTGTAAACTTCGAGCCCAGTTGTTTTTCCAAGAAAAGTATTTCTGCCCCTGAGCGACTTCCAATCGACTTCAGTCTGTAATCTTCAGACTCTCCTCCAATGACAAAATTATCAAATTGTGCTGCGACTGGATCTTTTTTCTTAAAATCAACAACAAGGAACATTTCATGGGGCTGCGATCGAGTCATCTGATACAATGCTTCCAATCCAATGAAGAAGGACACATTTAAATCCCCAAATCCATTTTTATATTCGGTCCAGTTGCGGTTAAAGTTTTCATCACCTTGGTTGCGAAGAACCACCGTCCAAGCAGGAACCACAGAGGTTGAATCGCATAATACGAGAATGGATTTAAAGCCAGGTACTCTTATATGCTTTACACCATTAGCATCCTCAATATCCGAACAACTGGCGGGTAAATCTTCTTCCTCCGCGATATTCTCATGTTCGCTATTTCCCTGGTTTATCTTGGTAACCTCTTCACTTAGATCGGATATGGTTTCCTTCGACGAATCAGGCGTTCTCAACTTTTTAAGTTCCGCATCTAACTCACCCATAACCATTCGATTTCTTTCAAGAGCTTGTTCTAGTTGATTACTAAATTCGGCCGCATTTAAATTTTCTTTTATCTGAACTTTTAACCTATCATTTTCCATCTTATATTGATTTATTAGAAATTCTTGTTCGTGTACTTTATCTTGCAACTGAGACATTAGCTCGTTATTTTGATGGCACTTTCCGACGTAATTAAGCAGGGGCTTTACAGTCGGATAGCAAAGGGTACTACACTTTTCTTCAAGCTCGTCGGTCATAGTACAAAACTAAAAAATATGATAATTATACAAAAGAGATAAGGTTTCTAAAATTATTTTGAAAAGCTATCAAAAGAAAGCTTGACTTCACCTCTTGGTTTTCCTGGGGTTCGAGATTGCACTTTGAGTTTGTCACAAACACAATGATTATTAATGCACACTTTACGTAATTTAACATTTTTTTAAATTTGTATTCCAGTTTAAATTTAAAATACAATTCGCACAACAATCACACGAATGATTCCGAATGAAGACTGAAACAAAATTTTCATAAATCGTACAACGACAGCTCTGCGTTTCTCAATCAGCAATTACAATCGCAATGGCAAAGTTGAACGATTTCCTATCAGGATATGGTCTACAAGTCGTGGAAATAAATATAGGTATAAGTGTTATCAATGTTACGATCCGCTTCATATAGCGTACCCTTAATCGAATAATCTTTTACTTATTTTAAAATCTTATTAGGAAGCAATATCTTTTTAATTGCTTGAGGATAAGCATTATATTATTATAGAATTATAGAATATATAGAATATATATAGAATTAACAGAAATCAAAATTTGTATGATTATTTTTGAAAATTATTGAAAAGGTTCCAACAAATTCTCGTAGATGGCGCAACAGCAGCTCAAAAGTCGAGGCCGATAGATGGTGCTGTTCAGAAATACGCATCTGTATAAAACTATACTATATTTTTACTCAATTGGGGTACAACTACTTTCAGAAGTATCCAAGAGATGTCTCTAATTAGGGCCTCGAAAGCTTTCATGTTGCTTTTCCATTTCAGTAGGTGGCGCCACAACCGATTTTTATTTCCTTAGGTTTATAGAAGTCTGTATGGAAATTTGTAAAATTTAGTAAATCTGACACAATTAACCAGACGAGTTATTAGCTTGCTCAAAAATATACTAGTATAATACTTTATAAGACCATAGAAAAACCACAAAACGCTTGCATTGCCATGTACTATATGTTAATTCCATGGTCAAATGATCAAGTGGTTCAATGTGCCAGCTGCTGAACAACTATAACCAGCAATGGGAGTCTTCAGCGAGACAGCCCAACCCAACTCAACCGAAAGAAAACTCATTTCCCTCCGATCTTCTGGTGCACTTGATACACACCGGAAAAATCGCTTGCATGACTGGGAAACTGAGAAGTTGGCACTGCGGCAATAATTGCTGCAGCACACTGAAGTGTTCCAGTTTCGGTCTTCCTTCTCTAGGAATCGTTCGATTCGGGGATCACCTCACGCACACCCATCTCAATCGACTGGTAATGCAAATCGAAGCTACTAGCCACTAGCCACTTGACCATGAATTGCGCACTCCTTGCCCCACTGAACTTGAGCAAGATAACCATTATGCACAGAAGAAATTGTAAACGAAAAACCAGGTAAATAAAAGGTGAATATGTTTATCAAATTACTAAATATAATTATACAATGACGTTTATGACTATTTGTTTATAATGTTTATTAATTCCTATATTAATGTAAAAAAATGTATCTACAATTCTATATCCAACTGGATCTTAAAAAAGTTTTACGCGGTAAGGAAATTTAACAAATAAATCGATTGAAATGTCATAAAAGACTATTAGCAAAGGATCAAGCTGATTTTCTTTTCCTGTGACAATGAAATTTATAAGATTTATAATTTATAATTTATATACATAAGTTCTTCATTTTCAGATTAGGATTTTTTTTTTTTTATTTAATATTTTTAAAACATTTTGTAAGCTTCAATACTAAAATATTACTTGTGAAATGTTGTATGCAATTCAGAAACAAAATGAGATTTTTAAATTCTATTTATCCTATGATTTTAGATTGAGATTGATTGTATCGTAAAATCTTTCTGATCTTTTTTCCCTGTGTGATATCTTTTTGAGCTACGCTTGGCTTCCATTTGGAATTGTTCACCATGGGCGCCACTTGCTGGGCGTTCATTGGGGCAACTTTCCAGGCCCAGCGAAGGCTGACCTTAATCGATTGTCGTTTAGCTGCAGATTTTCTTTGCCATCGAATGGGTGGAGGTGCAGGGTTTTGAGTTCTCCCCCTCCCATTCCCCCTTTTCCATTCCCCCTCGATTTTCCTCAGCCACTTGCACTTGGTACTTTTACCCAAAAGCTGCCAAGTCATTTCTAATTGACCCAGCAAGAGGATGACGTTAAGAATAATGTCTCATAGTGCAATGATTGATGTCAATCCCCGGGTCGCCCTTGCTCTGCCCCTTTCACTGAATCCACTTCTGTCTCCTTGGCAATTGGGTCAACTATTGGAAAAGCATTTTTGCATCGCAAAAAGTTCATTCTCATGGCCCGCAGAAATGTGTCAAGTCGCTGGCGCCTCGGGGTCTTTAAAGAGTATTTCCATTTTTTTTTTCTTTTAGTTTTATTTCGCCATGCAAATTAAACTTAATACGCTGTAGTAAGACTCGGCGAGGCAACCAGTTTCTTGGGGGAAAAACACTTGAAATTGGTAAGAACGCACTGGTCAGGTGGAGTGGGAACCTCGACGTCATGTTCCTGCCCCGGAATCATTTACACCTGTTGCCCGACCGAAAGTTTGAGACTCGGACTCGTTGGCAAAACCTCTTTGGGTTCTCCTGTCTGCTATCCGGGATTAGCGTTCATTTGAAGTCTTAATCGCAAATCAGATTTCCATGGCTCCTCCATAAATGGGACATGGTCCATTTTCCACACTCACCTTTTTCAGGCGCATTTTTAATGGGGTGAGAAGTGGGTTTTGAGTGGGAAAGTCTTAAAAATAATAATTCGATTTTCCTTGGAGAAAGGAGCACTAAAATGAATTTTATTGTCTCCATATTAATTGAAAACATTATTTACTATTTACTTTTACTAAAACATTACAATTATTACCATTTTCCATAAAAAATTGTTCCTGATTTTTATTATTTCTGTAAACAATCTACAGTTTGCATTTAAAACTTGAATCCAGTTCCTTAATTTTCTCTGGAATGTTAGCGTTTCTCTAAGTACCTTTACCTTTACGGTAAAATTTATCGGTGAACGCAAATCGTCGGATGCATAAAACTGTTGAAGACACGTTAAGATAACCCCAAATGGATGCGAATAAATCATTGCATAAAAAAGCACACCTCTGGAATCGACTTTCAACATTTCCCTGACAGCCCAGCACTTGCCTCTGTGGATCCTTTGATGGCCTTAAATCGCCATTAACTTAAAATTTATCTCTTCCCTGGAGTATCAGATCACCTGGCCCACAGTAAATGATCTCGGCTGACGCCTTTTGCCAGCCCCCAATGCTCGGCACAAGGAACTGGCTCGGGCCAGTGATTAGACTAGTTTTTAATTTTTATGCTGTGTTTAAATATTTTGTGCCACACCTATGCCAACGACACGAGCAGCAAAAACAACGAGAACGCTGCTCTGCACTTGTTTCGAGTCCAGGTAAAAGCAGCTGGAAGCCAAATTTAACGATGACATAAATACTGCAGATAACGAGCAGCAGGTGAGCCCGAGCGAGTTTCCCTCAAATGGTACGGCGAAAAAATCTTAAATGTAAAATCACAAATAGTCCCCCTTTTAAAGTTAGTCACACAGGCGGCGGCAGCATTGCTCGAGTGAAGTACTTTTGCAGCAATGTAAATTTAATTAAGTGCTTAGACGTCTAAGATTTTTATTGCAGCTGGGCGTGGAAGTAAGCTTAGAAGTATTTTTCAACTTAATGGCAAAGGGACTGGGAAAGCCAACACATGGCTATTTTAACTATTTAAGGTGTTGCCTAATGTTTAAATCACAGGTGGTATTTTACTTCATCTTAAAGGATTAAAATACAGACTTTTAAAAGTATGAACAAATAAATAAAATAATGAAAGTAGTAGCTTATTACCTTTGTAATCAGTATATTTATTAATTTCACATATCCTGCTAAAATAAAATTTTTCAAACCTTTAAAATACTTTATGAGAACGTGTTGTTCATGTTCATGAACTTGTTGTTGTTGTTGTCAGCTAATAACTGGAGCAATAATCATGCAAAGCACAGTTAAATGAAGTCGCGCATGAAAAGCGGCTACCTAGAAAAACAAATCATAATGAAAGAAAAAAATATATACTCGAGTGCAAAAAAAAAGAAACCAACTTAACAAGAGAAACGTAGTAATTGCCAGTCAGGCAGTCGGATGAGAAAGAAAGAATCTCTTTGGAAATTATATTTCACAATTTCAGTGAAAATGGCCAAGAATTAAGAGTTTGGAGCTTGGCCCGTTTTAATCATCGGTTGCATGCAACGCTGCCAAGGAACCTGTTGCACACACGAGTGAGCAGATGATCGAGATTCGCAGATCCCACCCCAAAAACCCCAACCACTGGGTGGTTTTCTGTTGTCTTGTCATTATCTTGCTCGACGGCATTAATCAGAACCACCCCCTCCCTTCCTTTCTTGCCACTCGTTTCCATTCGAGTAAACCTATTTAATTAGAATAGTTTCCGATTCCTTTGCCTAGCTGGCTTTAATCTGAAGCAAATTCGAACGTCGCACCAAGTTAACGAGAATTTGATTTATTACATTTCTATAATTTGAAATTGCAAGGGAAAGAATCGAATCGACGGAGGAGCTGAAATTGTAATGAAATTCGTATTTTTATTTCGCACTGTCGCCGGCAGTCAACAGTGTTCTATGAAGATTTATGGCAGCCAATTGACCCAAGTCCCGCCAAGGTGCTGGCCCAAGAAGCTGTCAATTGGCCAATCGGCGGAGGGAGTTGGCGGCAAATTGAAATTGAGTTTCCAACGGCAGAAGAAAGGCTTCGGCATTGAATGGGCGTTATTTGATGAATTGTTATTGCTGAAAAATATTTGATTAACAGTATTTTGGGGTATTTCATAAGTGAGTCAACATACGAATTTATAATATTTTTTATCTAACATTTTTTTTTTAAAACATATGAATAATTATATAAATATAAAGTACCATTCGTAGGTTTTGAGCCTGCAAATATAATTTGGTTATATAAAATTTTATATATCCTCCTTCGTTGTCCCTAAATAGTATTTATGTTTAAATCTATTTGTTAAATTTTCTTACAACTTTCAGTAATAGCAGTGTTTAAATATATAGCAACTGAAGAAAAAATCTTCAAGTTATTCCAAGAGGCTTAAAACTTTTCACTCGTTGAACAATCTTGACTGCAATCTAATTAC